ATACTAATCAAGATCAAATGGCCGGCCAGAAAAGATCAGTAACAGGGATCTCTGGGAGCGAACCAACCCAGCAGGAACCGATTGTCAAACAAATAGACAGGAAGAAATGGAGATGGATTGGCTGGCCATACTCTGAGGAAACCATCAAGTGACATCACTAGACAAGCCATTGCTCGAGTGGAACCCGAAAGGGAAGCGGCGAGTTGGTCGTCAGTGCTAGGGTGGGTGACTTGGAGGAGGTCATGTGAAGAGGAGATGAAAACGTGTGGGCAGACATGGAGCCAGGTGAAGACTCTAGCAGAGAACCGAACGCAATGGAGACGCACGGCTGAAGCCCTATGTTCCTGTAGGAATTAAAGAATACAATAATAATAACAATAACTGTATTTTGTATTTGTATTAATTGGTGTGGACCGAATTCCTTCCTACTTACATATATGTTTGTACTTGTTTAGTCCGCAACAGGTAGACTCCTGTCTTCCTCTTGAAATGCGCGTAAGTACCTAAATGGTCATACCAAGTGCCAGGTAAGACCTATGCTCGACCTTTACACGGTGTGGGATGGTTTGAAAAAAGTGAAAGGATGAATGAGAATGTTTAGCGCCTATTAATGGAGTAATTAACGTTGTGGCTCACCTAGGTGGGGGATAGAAAACCCGGATTTAAAATCTTCAGTCACATGGACAGTATAGTTCAGAAGGATGGAATGGCGTACGAACCAGTTCTGGTCTCTTACAACGATGGGGACGCTGCTCTGTTAATCGAAATTCAAATCAAGGGCTCGGTGGAGTGGAACAACAACCAATGAGAAGCTCTATTTACTATTCATATTACTGACGATCATTTGATCATACATTCGACAACTGGTCCTTTTTTCACTTTATATTTATATGGAAACTGTTTTGGTTTTATTTTTTATCACCATTAAGGCGCCTTCGTCAGCTGTTCGCTACTGCTTGAAATCCCAGTCTGTCTGTGTATGGTTTCGAGTTGCTAGTCAGTGTTACCCTTCATTGCTACATCCAACACGACTATTCTGGAATCGTATGTTGCACTCAAGCTTGTCGTGTACAACGTCTGCACACCGGAAGAAACAGGCAAGTCTAGTCAGGACCCTGAAATGCTCTCCTATTCCGCATACAAGGTCCCAGTAATGTGATAACAATAAACAACCGGCTAGAAAAGCGTTCTTTTCATCCTCTCTGCCTACGCATTAACGAATGCAATTAAGGACAAATTATAATATCAGCTGAGTGGACTTCTGAAACACATGTACTTAACAGTTATCGTAATGCTAGCTGAGGTCTTGAGTAGCGCGGAGGAAAGCCAGTTAGGTCGTCAGTCAGAACTGGATGATCTCAAGTCAGATAATGGCGATCATCTTCCGAAAATACGAGCAAATCACAACTAGACAAAATCAACTTCCAACAAATCCATCACCGTAGTGTTAACTGACGTCCTCTCTCTGTCACTTAAGTCTGGACTTGAATATATCATATCGCAACCAGTTACAGATGGCGTACATGCATAAAGGACTTTCATTCCCTATGTAATATTTGTCTGAAATCTGATCATGCTTTACCGTGTGCCAGGTTTATCTTGCGATTTGGTGATGATCAGGGAAATCATCCTCAATATGTTGACGTACGTTAACTGGTGGCACCTGCTACCTCCATGGAGTATGCAACCGAGCTAGACTCGAGGCTAGGTACTAACCCCCGAAACAGCATAGAAGAACTCTGGCTGCACTTACAAGACATCATTAAAGTGACAAGTGAAGCTGATTGGGGCTTGAGAAACCACATTTCTGTGATTTCCTTGACATCCGTCGGTCCATTATGACAGATAGTAGAATACAGCTCTTACTCGCAAGATCAAACAGTGCTTACATAAGGACTGCGAAGCCTGGTGGTCAAAACGTACACGTGAAATGGTATCAGAAGCTGTACCTGAAAATATTCAAAAGTTATTCTTGCCCATCGGAGATACCGATAGCAAGTAGCAATGGTGTCAGCGAAACAGATGGCACACCGATTAACAACCTAAAGAGACACTCAGAATGGTGGGCAGGGAATCAGCTGGCCCTCAGCGCCCAATGGTTGGTGAAAACAAAGCGGAGATCCTAAAGGAACTTAAGCACCACAAAGCATCTGGCGCAGGCAGCTTGCATCCACTTTTTTTTATTTATAATATCCAATAAAATTCTGTTGTTCTTCCATATTACTATTCTTTTTCCCTCTTCCTGTTTATTATCTCTCTTCCCTTGCTTTGTGTGGTAAATAGAGGGAAGCTTCCAACTTGAACTGCTGCACACATGTGCAAAGTTCTGTGTTGAAACCAGTGAGTCAGTCAGACAAATTGCCTGTACCCTCTCTGCATATACGTATACGCCACCGAAGGACATACCTAAGAGCGAGGACGATTATCCAGTAGGGAACCTCTGTTCTCCAAATTTGATATCGTACCCTGAACCCCTTTATAACCAAGTTTGGTGACATCTTTATCTAAAATCTCTTACTTTGAAAAGACCTCCAACATACTTTTACACCTGCCAATGAACGCCAGAATTACCTACATAATGTTAGTATTTATCAATCCAGTTCCTGATAAAAGACCCGAAACTTTATCTACCAACATCTTTGCAAGCCTAAACAACCTTTAGATTCTCAGAGGATGTGAGTATATGCAATATGCATCTTGATGGATCACGTCTAGTACCAAATAACTATTTGAAGCTTTAGTACCCTACATAGAGACACAATGCAAACAATATTGTTTGTATAGCCATGATAAAATTATTTGTTTCCCGAACAGCAGACGTATGTAATTACGTACCTCTCTGTCAGCTGCTACGAATTTTATCGATAAGGAAGTTAACTCTAGGAAAATTCAGGCTACTTACACTGCGTTTCCCTTCTTGATGTAGATCCCCATGAATTCACCTCACATGCTTCTCAGGAATAAATACACTCCAACAAGTTATTTCAAATAGTTGTCTTATTCAACGAATAAAAGGCCATAGTAGGATCAAGAATTTGAGTTAGCCGATGTATCCACAACGCAGACTAAACACTTACTGCAACAATCGAATTAGTTTTGGAGGCAACTTGCAATCAATAATTTCATTGCTACTGAAAACAAAGTAGTGCCCCGGCTACCAATCAAAACACTACGTAAGCTATTCTTAAACACAGTTACAATGATGACATTATCCCAGAATAGTGGGATATTGCCTGTCGCATCTCAAGCAATTCAGTTAGAGATATGATGTTCCACTTTGGAATTCAAGGTGAAAAGAATGTTGTATGATCCAACAGTGTTTGGAAATTTTCCGGACCTGTCATTTTTTCTTGTATGTCAACCCTAAGTGAACACAGAGAAATATATATTACAGTATAGACCAGTAATACGGTACAGAAACTGAACTTCTTTTCAAATTGCACTAGATAAGCGTGAAAGTTTTGTATAGACATATTATTATTCGCATAATAGACCAATTCAGTGGTTTGAGACCCTCTCCAACCTACTAAGTTCGTATAAAAAGTGTGTGAGGATGAAACTTCCGAGTAAAATCAGGAATCGGCTTCCGAAGAAACCTCAAAACTCCTCACTGCAAGAGTAAGCTGGGTCAATTCAAGGGTCAACAGAAGACCCGTTGACGTCGTCTTCATAGACTTCAGCAACGCCTTTGATGAAATACCTCACAATAGACTACTCATGAAGTTGGAAAGTCTTGGTATCAAAGGCAGATTACTAAACTGGCTCAGGGAATTCCTCGTAGTTAGGAGGCAGAGGGTCAGGATCAACTCGAAACTCTCCTCTTGGACAGCAGTGCGTAGCAGAGTGCCACAAGGTACGGTACTCGGACCTCTTCTATTTATTATGTATATCAATGAGTTATCTCTACTCACCGACTCCCCTATGGTCCTATACGCAGATGACTTAAAAATTTGGAGAGAGCTGAAGGGCAACAGTGATACGTCCACGTTACAAGAGAACCTCAACAAACTGTTAGAGTGGTCCATAAAATGGATGCTCCCGATAAATGTGGCAAAATGTGCAACAATGCGCATCGGACAAGCAAGCATAATCTCCTATGAACTAGAGGGAATAAAACTTCCATCAGTTCAGACTCACTTGGACTTAGGTGTCATAGTAAATCACGATTTAAAAACCACAGCACACTGTCGCGCGGTGGCTGCACGTAGTTTCAGGTCCTTATGAGCAATTCTCAGAGGCTTTGCTAGAATCATCAGAGATATGTTCACCTCCTTATATACATCTCTGGTGAGGTCAAGACTAGACAACTCTATCCAGGCAGCCAGTCCTTGTCTTGAGAGGGACTCATACATTCCAGAAAGGGTTCAAAGGAAGGCAACACGTATGGTTCTCGGCATGACTAACTTATCATACGAGTAAAGACTAAACAGTTTAAATCTATTCTCCCCGTCATACCTTAGGCAGAGAGGAGATTTAATTACAATGTTTAAAATTTTAAATAATGACTACGCACCTGACCTATTCTCTCTTTTCCTTCCCACCAGGTCGGAACACCTTAGAGGACATAGCAGGAGAGTTCAAAAGCCAAGAAGAAATCATATTGCTGTTGAGTACTGGTTCTCACACTGAGTCATAAATTCTTGGCACCGACTCCCAAATGAAGTGGTGTCTGCAACCTCAACTGATTCATTCAAGAAGGGCTGGGAAACCACAGAAACTTACTAGAAAAGGATTAACATAGACCCCAAGCCTTCTATCCTCAACCAATAAATCTAAATCTAATCTAAAATCTGAAGACTAAAGTTCACTGAAATACTTGTGAAACATCCACATACCAAACACTGACAGAACGTAATCACAGAGATTAAAGTCCGCTAGATTTTTATTTTTATTAAATATCAGCGGTTTCCAAAATAAGTAAGAAAAAGTACAAATAATTTACAGCCTTATACATGTACAATAAAAATAATAACACAACTATTAAATAAGTTTAGAATGACTTGTTTTTAGTGATAATAGCTCCAAGTGCTATCAAGAGGATTGTCAACAGCGCTACTGTTTCAAGGTACACAACTGGCTTGTAAGATATACCCTATTAGGTGAAAATAATTTAAAATAACTTGACCTACTTTATGTCGCACGGTAACTGTGAAGACTGGTTGTACGTCAGGAGTTACACCACCCTTCATTGAACGCAAGAAAGCTGTTACGCCTTTATCGTTATAAAAACGGACTAGATAATCTCCTTTCGGGATACTTTTATGGTTGAAAACAAATGTCACCTAATAGATAGTAGCAAATGATAAAGATCAGAATTAAAGTATAGTACTTGGAAATTGTCTGTTTCAATATGACGACTAACTGGTTGGAAAACTCCATTTAGTTCAGCGAAAAGGTCTGGAGGCTTTGAACAATTAACAAGTAATAGACAAACTTACTCCCTTCCCTTTACATTTAGCTTCACCTTCAACCAAAATAACGGTTTCAGTGGACAAAACTGCTTCACTTGCTGAATACGAGACTGCTCTAACGTCAAACTCATCGCACGAGGCAGCTTAACATTTAAGATGTTTAAAAAAATGATCATACATACCCAACTTGAAAGTCAAGATAAGGAAAGTAATCAAAAACCAAATCATTGCCGCGTCAACCGTATACGTGTAGAATGACCTTGAACACTTTTCAAATAGTTACACAGTTTCAAAGTTCAATTTCATTACGCCTAAGTAGTGATTTTGATTTTGAACATGCCTTACGTATGAAGCACTGGAAACTATTCTTTATGTTTGAAAAATACTCTAGATTTCTGCTCGGAGAAGACAAAGAAAAGTGGTGCAGGGAATGGAGCCACTGATAACCTTGAAAAAATTAGTCGCTCCCACAAGGCAAGTTGGCTGAAATTATCCCGCATGCTCAAGGTCATTGATGGAGTGAGACGCTCAAAGGTTATTTTCGTCCATGTTAGTCGGTTATGTTGGATTGCAGTTCCGTAGCCGTTCGTTTACACATTGGTTTTACGTTCTGTTGGCATTAATAGGTGATTACCATGTACTGATAGCATTCTTTTGCAAAATAGTACTCTTCTTCACACGAAAATAGCCACATTTTGACGTAGTCTTCATTGAATCACACTATGTCGAAAGCTGCAGCTTCTACAAGAAATAAACTATTTGTGTAGATGACATTACCCCCAACTACCCCATCTTCTTCATTGTAGAGATGTTTTGACGCATTCAGCATGAAACACTAATCATTACAACCAATATGCTAAGTGTGTCGCAGTCAGATTAAATGACGCGAACACCAACACAACTAGCCAGGGAATGAGAATTCCTATCAATCCAGAAAACATATAACAAAATTTTATTTAAAATTATTGACAAAACAAATTTGCCAAGCGAAATTTCAACCAACATGCCGGATAAGTCCAGCCGGCAAGTTCGGGCTCCTTTCTCAGCCTAGTCCTAAACATCATTCTACAAGCTCACCTTAACCTAAAATCTGGATCTAGCCAGCCTTCACTAAACAGATATCACTTTTCTAACTTATACTGTTTTCGCTCCTCTTTATAGTTATTCTTCAGTTTGTTACCTTCTTCGATCGCCAGAATCAGAAGAACAAATGTTAATGAGAATTTTCATTCATTGGCATGTTTTTCCTAGAATGAGGATTGAGGACCCTGGTACAGACACCAACTTCACCACAGAGATCAGCCACAGTTTTTAGAGTACAGAGTTTCATAGTTTACAGATTCTAGAAGTGTTGGAACCTATCTTAGCTTGTAATGTGACCTGAACCAAAATACAAATAGGTCTTAAAAGCACTCTTTAGTGATAAAATAATCAAGTGTCAAATAATCTCCAAATATTCAAGTAAAGCCCAGTTCAGTTCCCTTATTTTGCTCCATGCCATGATAGTAGTTACCGTTAAGACAGTTTGTAGGAATCCTGGTCTGCACATTCTGTATTGAGGATAAACGTTTAGACCTAAACTTGCATCACGGGGAACTTTTCCAATTCATGCTTTCTTTTTGGAGGAATTCGAAAACTGTACAGGATCCTTACAAGTGTGGGGAAGATGCATGAAGATGTCCTGAGTTTATTTTATTTGAACTGCGCAACTGGAGTCTCCATTGCGAGAAGTTTAAGAAGGCCATAGTAAGTGACTTCTCTTCGGGTTTGTGATACTGTTTCACCTATCTCCCTAGCTAAGCAGATAAATCGTTCAGGAAAGGCAAATGATGTGCTTGCATAAGTGCCATAAGCTCTCGGAGACTACTGCATCTCTAAGCCTCACAGTAAATTTAATAAACTCTGGGGCCACGTTTTAGCGATGGTTAATGACTAGGGAATACCAGAGGGTGATAAAATAAATAAAGCAATCATTATTTATTATTATTTTTTAAATTTTCCTATCTGTTTTTAAACCTGTTTAGTGATTGGTTTCTTGACCAGCTTGTCCAAAAAAGGTACTTCATTGAAAATGGGATTCGTGGAGCCACACTTCAATATACTAATGGGTGTAGGCAAACGCTTGTGTTTTTACCAGTGATTCTTTCGTTCAAGTAGGTTGTAATTATTTGAAGTCGGTACAAAATGGCCACAGTGTATTTTTCGACGCAAATATCCAAGGGAAGCTAATCTAAATCATGCCAATAGAATCCATAGGTTTGAAAATGTTAGCTGTATTGTGCCCCAGGAAAGTGTTGATTTCCTAGTAACCAAGAAGTTTCCAATCATTAGCATCATGAACCACGCTGAGACTGGTTGAGATTCTGATAGCTAACACCAATGTCGCTTATGAAGTAGATGACACTTCGTGTAGAAGTAAGACTACAAAAGCCCTCGCTGATGGGATTATTTTAGACCACGAGACATGTATCGAAACATCAAAGCAAGGATATGGAGTATTTCTAGGAAGACGAGGCGGCAGGGAGTACATTTACTTATGACTAGTTCATCTGTAGTGCTCTAATCATTAAACTCTACCTTCATAACGTACGGAAACTTTTATTGGGGACATCAAGTAGTATTTCGTCCGTAGGAGATTCAGATATCGAATGAAAGTATTGGAATAAATAAGTCAAATGTAAAGCAGCTACAGGTGGCATTGTAATGTCTGATTCCATATTAAAGATAATGATCTGAAATACAAATGTGTGAAGGAACACATGCAGTAATATGACATAAAGACGAAATGAGACTGATTTAGCTAGATACCCAATAACTGCTTCCTGTTTGTGCAAAATGTATCTCCTTGGGGGAGGGTATAAGGACTGGGAAGGGGAAAGAAGCAACATGGATTCCTCCTAATGGGCTCACAACAAACCAGGTAGATTTCATTTCAATGGAACTAACTCTCTGAATGTGATGTTCAAAGAAACGTGTACGACTGTTCTAGGAAGAAAGAAGACACACAACAAAGAATGGCTTTCAGCGGACACCTGCCTGGTAGCTGACAGAAGAGAGGAGAGGAGGATGGTGAAAGAGAAGGTGACTGAATGTCAAGATGGGCAAAGGAAGGAGAAGCTAAGTTAAATGTACAATGAACTGTATAAAGAGAGAAGTGAAGAAGAGTACCAGGAAAGATGAAAGACAACTCTATGATACACTGGCAACCGAAGCAGAACAGGCTGTCCGCAGGTAAAACAGGCCTCCGGACATTATATGAGATAACCAGGTCTCTATCCGCGAAGAGGTCAAAGTAGATGAACCTGTATAAGATGATTAAGGGGACCTAATTACCAAGGAGGAGAGACAAATAAAACAATGGGCTATTCGGTTCAAAGGGCTGTGGAATCGACCATCACCTGCAACTCGCCCAAAAATACAGCCCCCATCAAAAGCACGCGCAGAACTACCTGCTATTGGACAGTGGGCACCACTTCTCCAACGAAAGCGGAAATCCTGAATGCAAGTGAGCTACTGAAGGCCAGCCGAGAGGGCAGCAAGACCAAACAGAATAACCTCAAAGCACTGAAAACTGATCCAGAGATCGCAGCGGATATGCCCACTGCAGTATTGCAGAAGGTTTGTAAGGAAGGAAAGGTGACTGTCGACTGGAAGAAAGGCTGGTTGCCTTGTCAGGGAACAATGCCGATCTTGTCCACGCCAAGTAAAATACTAAGTCGCGTCATCCTGGAGAGGATAAACAATGCTCTGAATGCAGAACTCCGCCCCACAGAACAAACTGAATTCGTGAAAGGCAAATCACGTGGGGATCAAATTACAACTCTACGCACCGTCATCACAAAACAAAGCATATAATGGCAGTCAAAACTATACCTTAATTTCATCGACTTTTGAAAGGCTTTCGACAGGCAAAGTTGATGGAGAAGTAATTTAGAAACTACCTCAACACTACAGCGTGCGGTGCCCAAGTCTTTATCAACCTCATTCAGCAGCTGGCTACGTGAAAACGGAATGTGTCAAGTGATCCACAATGGAAAACTCAGCGAGGCGTTTGAAGTGAATACGAGAGTAAGACAAGCTGGCGACCTATTGTGATTGTCGTGAACTTGATTGTGCGTCAGCATGTGGGGAGTGGAAAGATGTTTAGAGGCTTACGGTATTGACATTCTCGAATTGTATGGAGTATACTAACGCAAGATCTAGTACCAACATCTTCTATAGTATTCGTTCCGCGTAAACCAAAGGCGAAGCAAAAGACACGATTGATCATCCAAAGTACGAGATATATTTCTGTACCAAATCGTAGACCGAGATGAATGCTTAACTGGCTAGTGATCGTGCATGAATGTGACACGACGGATTACCAAATGGTATGGATGCTTCACCGGAAGCCTTCAGCTAAACAAGTCGACTTGAACAGTGAGGGTCAACATCCAATGTTCAGTGATGATTGCCGTGGTCAAAAATTTTGGGGAATTATTTACCGCTACAGCTCACCTCCCCTAGTGGGGTTGTGAGGATCCTAAGACAGAACCAGCCGGAAGTAAAAGACTCGATGGTTCAATAATGGGTGAAAAGAACTCTTCCGAGCGGCTTGGTGGAGTGGCTACTGGTTCGTCTACCTATGCTAATAGGGTATCTGTACATCGCTTCGGTGATGTTTGTCCGTTGGATCTCGTGCTTCGTTTGCTTCTTGTCCAGTGCCCGTCGCACCTGGAAAAGAAAACAAGAATGCTGAGAACCTTGTTGAGGAAGATGTACCAAAAATAACGTTTGAGAAGTGATATGCATCTACTATACAGTAAAGTAATGTGAAAAGCAGAACATCGAAAAAAGGCATACATCTAATTTTTTAGTGGATGCGACATGTAAGGTTATCGAAAAGTTTTTTACTTGGGTTTCGGGATGCAGTATAAAAGAAATTGATGTTTCTGAAACGAAAAAAATAATAAGTACCACGAACGAATAAGAGTAGGGTGAATCGAATCACTTAGTTATGTGATAAAAGTGAAGATATTCTGGAAATCTCACGTTTCGTCCAGAACGCGTTTTCTTCGAGCGCTCGACAGAAGGTTCAGTGGCTTTTGTCGTGCTAGTGAGTCCTTCGAGGACTAAAGGATATTCTGTCACTTGCGGATTATTGGGAAAGCTCAGCTCTAGGCTAATAGGATTTCCTTCTAAGTAAGCCGGTTTCAGACGGTCGATGCTGACGGTGTCTTCGCGGCCTT